TTGAGCGCGCTGGCTGACGCCTGATCGCGCTCCTCCTTGACGCTCTTCTTGAGCAATCTGCTGGTCAGCCTCATTTTGAGCCAGTATATCCTCTCCAGCTCCCTTTGTGAGTACTCCATGCTTCTGTATACGCCTTTTAGAGCGCTGCCTACGCGCTGAGGCTGCGCTGTTGGCCTTCTCAAGACTAGAGATCCGATCGCGCATCAGCTCAGCAGAGAGCATCATCACCTCAGCGCCCTTCTTTAGCTGGTCAATCGCCTCAATGATCGAAGCTAGTAATAAGCTCTTATGCTGGCGCACGCGCTTACATATAAGGCTTGACTAAGCCTCAAGCTCACGCGCGTTGCTTGGTGTTTGAGCTACCCAGGGAGCCTCTGGTAGAGCAGCTGCTAGAGGAGTAGGTGTACGCAGCTGTACATCTACCTTTGATAGAACAGCCTCTGGTTGTAGAGGAACAAGGCCTGCGCCGCGGAAGGCTGAGCAGATGTTGGCTGGCGTGAACGCTCGATCAAACGCAGCCTTAAACGCTGGCAGAAACTCTAGCTTAGTGATGTGGTTGATGTGGTTGCGCATGAGGCTCTCCACCTCACGGCTGTACGCGCGCTTCAATGGCGAGAAGCAGCTAACATCAAGTGGCTGGAGTAGGTGAGATGAGTGAGGAGGCATACAGAGCGTATGGATATTGTTCTCCTTGCAGAGCTCCTGGAACTCTAGAGACTAGTGGCTCCTATGGCCATCAATAATAAGCAGGCGACGCGCGCCTATAGTACGAGCCTGCGTGTGAGCGTTGAAGTGCTTTAGCCACTCAACTCCAAGCTCATTATTCGTCCAGCCATTGTCGCTGACTGCGATCGCCCAGTCGCGTGGGATATCCTCCTCATACCAGGCTGATAGGTAGTACTAGCCAGCGAAGATAAGGAATAGTGGCACTGACCAGCCACCAGCGCTGATGGCAGCGATCAGCGTTACCCACTCGCGATTGCCTGGCTGAATACTCTTTGGCCTGCCTCTTCTCTCTGATCCTGTTATAACCAGCTGCGTTGTAATCTTGCCCATTATAAAGCCAGCTTCATCAAAGTTGTATGTGTCCTCATCGCAGATACCAAGCTCAGTCTTTGTCTCTTCTACTAGCTTAAACCAGCGTTGGATAAGGGCTGGATTCTCACAGAGAGCTCTCTGCCTATCGTACGCTCGGTTGAAACACGTCCGAAGGCTATCTGTACGCTTGACAAAGTTGCGCGGCCAGTAGATGCCAACCAGGCTAGCGCCGCGTGCAGCCATCAGCTTATCAGCCATATCTCGTACATCAACGTAGGTAGGCCCAAATCCACGTAGATCTAGGTGAAGGATATGGCTGATAATCACCTCCTCTTCTCTCTGGGTAAGCTTCCTTGAGTTGGGCTGGCAATCGCGTCGTGCAGGTATACCAGCGCGTCGGTTACGTAGTGTCGTACGTGGGACATTATATATAGCTGCAGCAGTAGAAGCACTATTAATTTGATGCGCATTAATAGAAGAGATAGCAAGCTGTATATCTACTTCATTTGAAGCTAATTGAGGCGCGCTGCGTAGAGCCATTGTATGTTAAGATAGGAGAGGTGTAGAAAG